GATATGGTAATAAAGATATATAGTAATTGACTATTTCGGATAAGTCATGATATGAATATAATTTAGTAAGAGTTGAGATTTGCTATCAAAAACAGATGGTATGAAATAAAAAAACTTGAAGATATTGTAATAATGGAAAAATATGATATATAAGGTTAATTAAAATATAAGATGACTGTAAATGTAATGAGAAATGTATACAAATATTAATATGTGCACAAGATGACTCAGATGACACACTGCACAACTGAAAGATGAGTTTTATTTGTTTTTGTTGTAAAAATAAAAAATAAAAATAAAAAAAAGAACTGTGCCCCCTCCCCACTAAGCCATGCCAAGCCATGACATCTCCAATGGTCCTGGTGAAATGTGGATATTGAATTCCACATAGACGATATAGTTGGATATATTGTTCATCTTCTGCCCCCACTCTCATTTCACCCACAAAAAAATATACAAAGAAACCTGTGCAACTTTGTAGGTGCCTACTAATGTTGATATCTGGATGGAGATGTCTCTGGCAGCTCCATCAAGCAAAGCCAAAATGTTATCCTTCCTTCCACATCTGTAGTTGGGAACATTGGCTTCCCCAGTAGAGAGCATGTCCAGCAAGGCATCTGAAGTGCCAATGGTGTTGAAATAGTTGTCATGGATGTTGTAGCCAAGCGTGAGATTCTGCAGGAGCTGTGGGTTCTTGTTGACCACTTGAACAGCAAAAATGTAGCATAGGATTCTTGACTTATCAAGAAGGAAACTAGTGTAAAAAAAGCAGTCATATTATCATCACAAACAGCAATAAAAATACTTTTCAAAATTTATTCCTCTTTGTTTCTACAAGCATACTGAGTCCTAAGCTGGTACCGATTCAAAACCACAGGCCAACTGTAGTCATCCATTTATATTTTATTTTAATGAGTGTTGGGATGATGGAATGGAAATAGTTCCTCCATCAGAGTTAAGAATCAGAAATACTCCACTGTTTGTAGCAGTACAAATTTCATCTGTCCACTAACTAATATTCAAAATCATTCAATCATTGAAGTAGAACCACTGTAAAAGAAAGAGGATGTTTCATAAATGACCAGAATAGCTATTGTTAAAAACAGGTCAACCTCTATTTCTATAAGGATCAGGCACTGCTTGTCAATGACCCATTACAATGATAATGAAAATAGACACTACTTTAAACAAAACCATTATTCACATAGTGAACACAGTATTGGATGGGGAGAGGAAAATAATGGAGACTTCTTCAAAGATTTTTTTTTTTGCCCAATCTTTGGATTTGAGTCTCTTCCACAAAATAAGAGAGAAGCCATGGAAATCAAAGCAATTCAAGAATTTAGACAGGTCTTACAATATAGGAGAAAGTGAAGAAGAAGTAGAAGTAGAAGTAGAAGAAGAAGAAGAAGAAGAGGAGGAGGACGAGGAGGAGGAGGAGGAGAAGAAGAAGAAAAGCATTAGAGCTTCCAACTGAGTGAACCATCACTCTGAATAACTTACAACTGGGATTGACTATAAGGGTCCATGTTGAAAGGCAATGTTGTAGGTGATGTTATTGTTGCCGTGATGATGACACTAATGAGATGGTCTCCTGGCCTGTAATAGCTCCATGGCTTGTTTTCATCTTTGTTCTGCAAAGTCAGTGGGCACTTCAATCTAAGCTTCTCATAGACTGTCTGCGGCATCAGCAGCAGAAGAATCAGAAACAGCTTCATCATAATTGATAAGGCTAAATCAATCCCCTTCCCATTTCTAAAGCCATAAAGACCAAGAAGACTTAGAAGAATTTAGAACCCTCTAGCAATATGGAAATGCTGGTGGCTTTTATGATTCAAAAAGAGACAAACTGAATTTCCCCTGGAAAAAGGAGAGAAAGGTATGGTATGTTCAAACACACAGTCCCTGCCCTTCACAAACCTTGTGCCACACAGGGAGTGTGACCTGAGCCACTTATCCCTTTCTGATGTAAGATTCCCTTCCACGTTGCTTCAATCTGATGTTTACATCACAGACAGTCCCTGGAGAAGTAGCAAGGAAGTATCAAAGACTGGGATGGTGATAATTAGAATGAGGAACAATTTCTCCTCTAGGGATCCTAAACTACTTCTGGACTTCAGGTGCAATGGGGTAGCAGGAAAAAAGAAATCACGTCGGTGAAAAATAACAGATCCTCCCCTTGGGTCACTATTCAGCAGTGATTGTGGTCTTTCCTGTCCATACATGTCCAGAAAGTAATGCTGAAGGAAGATAGTTCAACAGCTGTGGCATTTTCTCTCCAGGGATTAGTAGAGAAGGTCACCCAGGGCAATTGAGTTTGATGCCATTCTAGATAAATGACACTAAATTTTAGTTCTGCCTGTCTTCTAACACTAAACAAATGATCAGGACTCTTGAATGCTCCTAATTTAAGAGTATGGCCTGTTTGTGATTTGCTTTTGTAGAACACCCCCCATATCTATATCTGTCTGTCTGTCTGTCTGTCTGTCTGTCTGCCTGTCTGTCTGTCTGTCTGTCTGTCTGTCTGTTTCATCTATCTCACCCAGGGGTGGGATTCTACCGGTTTGAACTGGTTCAGCCGAACTGGGTGTTAAATTTGCATCTGGTTCACCGAACCTGTATTTCAACCGACTGGCTGGCCATGCCCACCCTGCCCCTCTCCTCCCAGGAGTATCCACAAATCCCATTTTCGATGGAGGTAAGTGCAAGGTCCGCATGGAGGCTCTGGGAGGGGAAAAACGGGCCATCCGGAAGTCCAGAAATGGGCCTGTTTCTGACTTCCAGAGGACCTCCAGAGCCTGGGGAAGGCTGTTTTCACCCTCCCAGAGGCCCGAGGGAAGCCCCCAGACCCTTGGGAAGGTGAAAAATGGCCTTCACAGAAGTTCCGGTAGGCCACGCCCACCATGGCCACACCCACCCAGCAACTGGGCAGTAAACCGGTTGCTGGGATTTTTGAATCCCACCCTGATCTCATCTACCTATCTCAACTATCTATCTCATCTATCTATCCATCCATCCATCCATCTATCATATCTCTATCTCTATGTGTGCGTGTATGCACGCGTATGTATGTGTGTATACCTCTTTCTGGCTCATGGATTGTGAAAACATGTTTTTTCTTTTTTACAAATTTATTTTATTCAGAAGATTAAAATCCAAAATCCAAAAGAAAAAAAAATTAAACAGAGGCAAAACAAAACTAGTCAAAAGCATTAAAATATGAATTAAAAAACAAAGGACAAAAACACATATTATCCCCCTCTAGTGGAAGGCTGACTTTGAACCTGCAATCGCTTCTCCGCCCCCCCTGCAAGGCTGGTCCAAAATTTATAAGCTTGTACATTTATTTACAACCCAACTGACCTGTCCATACATTACATATATGAAAGAAAAAAAATACATTAGTTAACAGGTTAAACAACAGCATAACGTTCAAAGCACTCTGTTAGTCTGTTATTGTATTCGTAGAAAGTCTTACATGGTTCCTTATTTACCACAAATCACCCCAATCATTCCAAGTCCAGGAACAAATATCCTGGT